TATACTCATTAAAGACAATAAACTTGTCACAAAATGAAACATAAATAGATTAGTACCTTCTCTTTATTTTTTTTCTGCACTTGATTGCTTGCAACAACATTATTTTCCTTCTGCACTTGAGCACTATTGCCTGCAGCAACATTCTCAGTGATGTTTAGGGAGTTGTTCATCCCAAGGTCATTGGCTATAGCACTAGGCCTTCCAACTCTCGACCTACATGTTGCCCTAAACTCTTTAGGTAGTCTCTTTTTTGGAACTTGAACATCAATTGGAACTTGAAGAATAGGTTGCTGGACAGTTTCTTGAACTCGAATAGCAACAGCAACAGCAGCAGTAGGAAGAGCATGTTGCTGGATAGATTTTGAAACTTGAATATTAGTAGCAGCAGGTTGCTGAACAGGTTCAAGAACTTGATTTTGAACATGTGTCGATGACTCTTCAACCTATCACAAAATTCATATTACTCAATTAAATTTTAAACAAAAAAATAAATTTAATGTACAAGAACAAACAAAGACTTGGCTTTTATACTTACAGTAGTAATAGCAAGAGGCTGCTGGACAGATTCGGGAACTTGATTTTGAGCATTTGACAATGACTCTTCAACCTATCTCAAAATTCACAAAACTCAATTAAATATTAAACAAAAAAATAATCTCAAAATTCAATTAAATATTAAAGAAAAAAAATAAATTTAATCAACAAGAACAAACAAAGATTTGGCTTTTATACTTACAGTAGATTTTTGCTTTTTCACTGGACATGTCCTTGAGTTGTGGCCCTTTTTGAAGCAAGCTTGACAGGTCATGACCCTACCTTTCCTACTCATGTTTGATCCAAAAGCCATCTCCCATTCTTCTAAATGTCTTTTTTTCTTAGGCCTTCCTGGCGTCTTTTTTGGAATAGGAGGTTCAATTTCAGGCATACCAGAATCAGCCCAAAATTGCATTCCATCAATAGGAATGATAAAATTTTTGTATGTGTCAATGTAAGCTTGCTTTTTATAGCATGGGTGCACATAATCTTCATACTCCTCACCCCTATGTTGGATGACAAGCATTCCATGCCTGCAAGGAATACCATTGAGTTGCCAAACTCTACAACTACAAGTACACTCACGAACATTGACTAGAAAAGAATATGGTCGTTCTTCTACTTCATAATGCCATCTTGCTTGTGATTTGATATGGCATCTTGTCATTTTGCTTCTGTGTTCTTCAATCTTTTCCCAAATTTTTGGACCAAATTGACCTTTAAACTTTCTGTCAGCAAATTCCAACTTTTCAATATTCCTCTTGCTGCACTTTCTTCTGAGATCCTCAAGTAGTGAGAGAGGTCCCTTATGCCTTGCATCTAGAATGAAACCATTGAAAGTTTCACTCATGTTATTATCGACAGCATCACATTTTGCGTCAGTGTCAAAGAAGGCTTTGCACCAGAATTTGGGGTCCAGCTTCATCAATCTTTCTTTTGCTGCAGGCTTCAATTTATTGATTTGTTCTAGGTTCCTCCTAAATTCTGCTTCATTTGTTGATTTTGCAGTGATCCAAAACCATCTTTGCAATTCCTTACCTTTGTGATCCTTTCTAAAATTTGCATAAATATGCCTTGCACACCTTCTGTGACGTGCTTTAGGGAACAATGTCTGGATTGCATTAATCAGGCCCTATAAAATAGGAAAAGGAAAATGACTAGTATTTTCACAAGCATTAAAAATTAATCAAAAAATAACATATAACAATTAAAATTACCTTTTGTTGGTCAGATATGAAGGTGAAATACTGTCCATCACCAATTTTGAGATCAGAATTCAAATATTCTAAGAACCATGTCCATGTGCTTGTGCTTTCATTTTCGACAATGGCCCAAGCAACAGGATACATTTGATTATTTGCGTCCCTTCCGATGGTTGATAGTAATTGACCCTTGCAAGGACCTTTGAGAAATGCACCATCTAGACCGATTATTGGTCTACAACCAGCTATAAATCCTTCCCTCAGTGCATCAAAGCAGACATAGAATCTTAAGAAGACAGGTTTAGAATCTGGTGTAGGCCTCATTGCATCAATTGCAACTGTAGAGTTGGGATTCTTCTTTAAAAGCTTCAATCTATAATCATATAACCTGCTGTATTCCTTCTCACAATTGCCTTCAAACTCTTTGATAATAAGTTGTTTTGCCCTTCTAGCTTGACTCATTGTGATTTCAAGATGCAATTCTTCTTTAATTGATTGTTGGATGTTAATTTGGGTTGCTGCAGTAGCTGAAATACCTCTTGTCTTAATGAAATGTCTAGCTATAGTCCTTGATCTAACCCTTCTATTGTTCAAACTGTAACTGCAAGTATGCTCATCCTGGTATGTCTTTATCATCCAACTTCTTGTCCTCCCATCCAAAGAAAGTAGCAAAACCCAATTGCACCTCTTATCTGCACATATAACCCTGACTCTTTTTTTATCATTTTTCTTCAACACTGTCTCTCTTCGCATATAAATAGATTGTATAAGAACTGCATCTTTAAACTGCTTCCTGCTCAAAAATATCATTCCTATTTCAAATTGTGGAATGACTGTTGATTCATCAAACACCTTGTGTAGTGAACGCCTTCTTCTTGCTTCTTCTACATCACTATCATTACTAGTTGTAACAAAACTAACCTCATCATCAGAATCAATTGAATCGCTGACTCCTTCCTCAACATATGCTTCACTTGGATCAACTAAAGCCCCTTCTATTCCAACAGCATCTGCATATAGCTTAAGAGTATCCTTATATTGATTCCTTGCAAATTGCCACTCCTCATCCTCATTGTCGGTCAGCCAAGGAACATCAATATACTCATCACCACTTAGCACATCTCCGATTCTTCCATCTGCATCCCCTGAATTTCTATTATGTTCTGCAACTATTTGGCATTCTTGGGTAACAGAACCTAAAGCATTTTTGTCCCCTAAATCAACTTCAACCCCATATGTATGGCAGTCTACATTACATGCTACTGTCTCACCAACCATTATAGCATCATTTAGTGAGCCATTATTTTCGTGGGAGGGCCCACCTTTTGTCACATGTTTCTGAATTTGGGATTTGTGTTCAACATACACATCTATATACCCATTAAACATTAGTAGTTGAAACATATCTTCAATTGACTCGTCAGAAATAATTAGCACAAGGCCATCATCATCAAACCTCTTTGCAGGATGTTTATACCATACAAAATCTGTCAAGCCATCCATGTCTATGTTTAACTCTTGTAATTTCTCTCTAAAAATAGCAGGTTGACATCTACTTGGTTTGAACCATATGCTATGAAAAGTACCACCGACATACCGAAGCGTTGGATTCCTAATAAATTTGCCTCCAAAATTCAAGTATATACCATATTCAATACAATCAGTCATTTCATGAGACCTACAAACATTTGGGACCACATATCAGAAAAGAACAAAGCAACAAATTCTACTATACTTTATTGAAACCTAACCCAAAAACCATGTCCATAAAACATAAATTATCAGTTGATTATTACCTTTTTGAAAGCCTTCACAAGTCTCGACAATTTGCTTGCTCCAAGCACAATGTCTTCACCTTTTCAGAGATTCCTGCAGTGGGTGCTCTGTAATTCTTGTGCATTGAGCTTTTCACAATTTGGAAATAAGGAGAGAGTGGGTTAAAAAATCCACTCATGTGATGGACACTAAACTCCAAGCGGGAACAAAAAATTTTTTGCCGCCTATTTTGGCTGCATTCTTTTTGCGCCAATTCCTCTGTTTTATTTTTCCGCGCCATATCCTCTGTAAACTAGAAAGAAGAAACAAAAATACAGAACCAAAAGAAAAAAAAATGGTCCCACTTGTCTAAAAAAATTAATAAACAATAAGTTGGATCTTTGGCCGTTAGTAATTAACGGTTAAAATTAACGGAAGTATGGATGGCATCCCATTAGGGATGACATTGAACAAAAAATGTGTAGTAGAGGGATGACATATATACTGTAAGGAAAGTAGAGGGACGACATCGAACATTTCCTTAGTAGAGGGACGGTAACGAACAATTTCACAAAGTACGAGGACTACAGTTGGCTTTAACCCTTGTTTTTTATGTATTTGAGCCGTCACGTTCTGGTGTCTGGTCTGCCTGTCACTGTCCTGAAAGCCGGCAATAACACGCCAAAATGGGCCCAAAA